AAATGACCCATTTATACCTCCCTCTTTTTTGCTAACCAGTCTTCACTGCAACTTGTGCTACTCCTTACACTATGAGCTCTTATCTTTGATGCGACAGATTTCCAAAAGACATTTGGCAAACTAAGTACACAACACTACTGGTTTTTCTTTATCCAAACTGGAGTTTTCTGCTGAAACAATATACAATCAGTTAGTCAAACATGATTTCCCTTTCATAAAACAATGATGACCTGATCTGACGGTATCGAGATTTTCTAAATATTTCACTATAGCTTCTTTCATAAAAGACTGCAGCATATGGCAGATGTTAAACCAATTGGTCTGTATCTACCCATTTCTTTTTTCCTCCTTTCTTGAACACAAGTCACATTTGTTATTGTCCAATCTGATGGAAACTTTCCAGATTTCAGAGAATTTTGTAAAATTAAAACTTAATCATGTAATACTGTATATCCTCGAATAAAAGTTGATCTCATTTAAAAGTCAACCCTCTATTTTTGGCCAAAAAATCTGGAATTTTCCATGTCTCGTGAAAAAGTCGACCCTAGTTCTTCACAGATATCGGATCACCATTTGTTGACGGCCTCCAGTCCACCAGCTGTGCCACTCCGCGGGCTTCCAGAATTACTATACTTCGTTGTGCTTTTCTCCCCTCAATTTATTGAGATCAATTAGGCTTTTGCTAATGATACGGTATGAATTTTGATGGGCTTGAATTTCAGCCCCTCAAAAGTAGCATCCATGTAATAGTCAACCCCATAAATTTAACCTAAAAAAAAATCTAAAAAATTTGACTTTTACACGAGTATATACAGTACTTCAGCCACTTCTTTTAAGACCCTAGGATGAAGTGCATCAGGACCTGGGGACTGGTTAGCTGTTCTAATAATTTTCTCATTTGTAATGTTCCTAGCTAGCTATCCCTTGTACTCAAATTTTACGTTCCTTATTAATCTTGTCATTTTTGCTGTTATTTACATTTTATTTTCTGACATTCCACTCAGCTTTGCCGAAGAATAAGCTTTTACTTTCAATTCAATACCATCTTTAACTTTTAGTCACAGATGGTGTAGCTGTTCCTTGAGGCCATTCTCTCACTGTAATACATACTTTGAGTATTCTGAAACATATCCTCAAAAATCTCCACTGTATCTCTACTGACTTATCTCATAATCTAACTTCTCAGTACACCTGCTATAGGAAGACTTTTGTTAAACTGGAAAGGGTACAGAAAAAAATTTCCAAAATATATTGATGAGATTAGAGAGTTTGAGTTATAAAGGAGAGACTAGATTTGGTTCCCTGGGAGTGTTGGAAGCTGAGGAGTGACCTTATAGAGGTTTATAAAATCATGAGGGGCATAGCCAGGACCTTTTTCCGAGGGCAGGGGAGTCCAAAACTAGAGGCACAAGTTTAAGGTGACAGGGGAACGATTGAAAAGGGACCGAGGAGCAACTTTTCTGCACAGAGGGTGGTATGTGTACAGAACGAGTTGCCAGAGGAAGTGGTAGAGGCAGGTAGAATTGCAAGTTATAAAAGAGTCTGTTTCCATGCTGTGTGACTCAATGAGTTTAGACAGGTCTTTGTTTATTTAATTAATTGCCCTTATTTAAGCTTCAAATACTAGCCTAGGGTCCATTCTCTCCCTGATACTGAATGCAATATTCAATTGCATTATGGTAACTGATACCTAGGAGGGCCTTCACTATGAAATCATGAATTAAATCTGTCTCATTGCACACTATCAGTTATAAATATAACCTTCTCGCTGGCTGACTCTAGAACTTGCTAGTCTAAGAAACTATCCTGAACTAATTTACTACTTTTATGGTACTTTATTTAGAAAGTGTTTCAAATAAGTAAGCAGAGAAATACAATAAAAAAAATTACAGAAACTTTGCAGCCCAATTCGATTTTAACAGCTTCTCTCTTATTAGGGCATTTATGCACACAAATCTTACCATAATAAAGGAGGACCTTGAGATCAGGACACCACTGTTTAAGTTCTCGGATCCAGTTGTCTGAGGAAAAGGAAAATTAAAAATGTTCAGGGTATGAACAGGTTTATTTATACTAAGATTGAATCATGCAGTTCTCCTTTAGATGTTTGATAGTAATTTTATGCGAAAGGAATTAAATATTGCAATTTACTAAAGAAAACTGTCAAAACATTAGTAACATGAAACATAGGGGTGCTGGATGGGCATGAAAAACATGACTAAACAGCAAAAAAACAAAGTTAATTTCTGAGGAAGGGTCACCGGACCCGAAACGTTAACTCTGTTTTCTCCTCCACAGATGCTGCCAGACCTGCTGAGCTTTTCCAGCAACTTTGTTTTTGTTCCAAGTTAATTTCGGTCTTTGTTTTTAATAGGTGATTACTTGATTTAGCACTTCAGGTTTAACGTTACCTAGGGTTGAGGCAGGTACAATAATGAGATGTGGTCCTTTATCTCCTTCTTGGTAAAGGTAGGCAAGGAATGATATAGCTTGTACAGTTTTCCCCAGTCCCTGCGCACAAATAAGACAGCATTGAAACATGAACAAACTACACCTCCCCCCACCAACCCGATTGGCTTTTTATGTTAGCTTTTTATACTATTTCGTAGACAAATCATTGAAATCTAGATCATCAATATTTACTGTGAGGAAAACTGTCAGGAAGACGACAACGAAAACAATATAGACTTGCATTTCAAACAGCACAGGTAGAGAAAAGGATCAGTTGTAATCATTCGAGAACAGAATATTAGTTTTATTGTTGCAAATTGCAAAAGTAAGTCAGAAGTCACGTGACACCAGGTTATAGTCCAACAGGTTTATTTGAAATCACAAGCTTTCTGAGCATTGTTCCTTCGTCAGGTGAAATGTCACTTAACTTTGTCCACCGGCATCTCCACATCACAACAATAAAACACTTCATAAAATTAGTCATGCAGGGCAAAAAATGCAATTTTATAGATTCTGCACATCATGCAGATTTAGCATAATGCATCGGATTAGGTTTGAATCCAGTTACTTGCCCCATTTTGTGTTTTGAAGATTATTATTGAAATGGGAACTAATTGATAAGACATACGCTGTCATTTTATATGAGTCGAGTAATATAGAGATACAGGAAGCATCTCCTATGTCCTCACTTTTCTTCTGAATTCACAGCATGGGTAGCCTTCAAAACCTTCTAGTTAAGAATGGTTATCATGATTAACACATATCATTCCTTAGAAATTTTTTCCCTGTCCAAAGTGCGAGTTACTCAACAATGTCAGAGAATGCTCCAACAACAACTAAGATCAATGTTGGAACGATAACCTAAATAATTGAACTTGCACAATACTACGAAGCATCCTTTTCACTTACCATTTCATCTGCTAATATACCATTCACCCGATGTTTATTCAGTAAAACTAACCAATTCAGTCCGACTAGTTGATATGGTTTAAGCTCCAAGCTGTAGAACACAACATGAGCAGATGTCAACTCCCATAGTTATAAAACTGTACCCATTAACTCACCATGCAAAAGCCATGGGAGATCTGATAGTATTATTAACAATACAACAGCACATAAAAATACCATTTCATTACTGGTGCAGCACAATACTCAAAATGAAATCAGTGGCTGAAAGAGGGATAAAGTGAGTAGTTAGGGGACTGAGGTTCTGGTCGGGGTTGAAGAAAACATTCCATGCTTAGCTGGAGGAAACTGCAACTCATTCACGATTGGATGTTCGACAACCAATTGGACTGCAGACAATTACAACTGGGTCCATAAGAATGTAAAAACTAAGCGCACGAGTGGGCCGTATAGTCCATCAAAACTCGCCATCATTCAGTAAGATCATAACTGACCCCTATGTGTGGTTAACCTCACTTTCCTGTCTATCCCTCTAAGTCTCAACTGCTTTGTAGATCAAAAATCCATCACTCACCCTTAAAGATATTTAATGACCCAGCCTCCAATGTTCTCAAAGAGAAGAATATTTGAAAGACTAATAACTGTCTGCAAAAATACATCTTCCTCCTTATCTCTGTCTGAAAAGGGAGATCCCCTACTTATAAATTGAGCTCCTCATTTTCGATTCGTCTCGGCATCTGCCTGTGGGTTGTGATCCCCCGGTGGGCTGGTAGCCAGAACTTTGGTGTCACAGGCTCTTACACAGTAAGGCCATTGTGGAGCACTGACCAAGTACTAACCAATCTGGTTCAAGAAACAAAAATGAGAATGGTTGAGCTGCCTGATATTGCTGGCCTGAATCCTGTCTGGAAAAAATTCTAAATGGGAAGGTAGCTGCATTTTAGTTAATGACTCTGTAGATTAAAACAGCTTTCCCTCAAACCACCGTACATCCGAGATCCTGTAATCTTTGGACATCAAAATTATGTTACAATGGAAAAAGTTTTGGGAAGCACTTATCTACTCTTTCAAGTCCCCACAAAACCTTGTGTCTCTCAATAAGGTCACCAAACATTTTTCTTAACTCCAATGACTCAACCCTTCCTCATGGGACAATCTCCATCAAGAATCAGCCCGGGATCACTCAGGAACCTGCTATGAACTGCCTCACTGCAAGTCCCGTCCCTCAAATAAGGAAACCAAAATTGGACATGGTACTCTACGTACGGTTTCATCAATTCCCTGTACAAGTTTCCTACTTTTATACTTCATTCCCCTGAAATAAAGGCAAGATTATATTTTCCTTCCTCATGCATGCTCTAACCTCGACCTGCATGTTACCCTTTTGTGACTGATGTACAAGGATGATCAGATATTTCTGTACAGTTGCATTTTGCAATCTCTCCCTACTTAAGTGTTTTGTTTATCTATTCTCTTACCAAAGTGAATAAAATTTACTTAACTTTTAGCCTTCTTTGTAGAGCTTCCATTGTGTATTAGAATATTTTTCAATGAGTTACATGTTATACCAAAATATTACATTTTATAAAAGCATGTAAATATTGAGGAAGGTGGAGGGGAAAACCAACCTTTTGCTCAGAATGACAGGCTGTTCGATGGTCTGGTGACTTCCACCATCTTCTGTTATTTCTGTTACTTGTTTTTCTAATCTTTGGGAGATTTCGGCACATCTGTTCATAAGTTTAAGAACTACTTCCCGTTCCTTGATTACTGTTTTGCAGTTCCATATCAAATCTTCAGACAAACCATGTGACCGATTAAACTTTTTAAACTGAAACAGAAAATACAAATTATGTACTATTGAGTCAGTGTATTTTAAACAGTATGCTAAAAAATGAATTTATTTCAATGAATTTACATCTTAAATGAAGGATTCAAAAACACTGAGAACAAAAATTAGAGTCCCTACTGATGTCACAAATTTAAGTATTATTTACTTGGAGTAAAAGAACATGGTTGAGTGCAAATTTATGTATTCATCAACAGAGAACCTCAGTCCTCCATACAAGTAATGCACATTTAATTGTTTCTGATGAATGGGTCAAACAGATAATGTTGACTCAAATAAAACTCTGCTCGTTAATATATGTCCTATGTCCGCTGCAGTGTTCCAAGCAAAGCACAATGTAAGCTGGTGAAACTGGACCTCATTTTCCACCTAAGCATTTTATAGCCTCAGGATTTAACATTGAGTTTGACAACTTCAAAGCATAAACACAGTGCACCACTTTGATGGAATGCTGCTCTGTTTAAAACAAAAGTTCTGTCTGCTGTTAACTTGTCCAGACAGGAAATAAGCCCCGGTTGCACAGCAGGAGTCTGAACACTTGGGTTGTGATGAATAGATGCAGCACGATGGAAGGACAAGTGTTGAACAAATTCAGAACTGGAGTCTCACTTCCTGCTTCCTCTAATATTTGAAGGGCAAATGGAGAGGATGTACCTTTGCTGTTCTCCTTTTGTAGCCATTTCCTCAGTTTTGTTACAGCCATCCATACTCACATATCATGACCTGGACAACATTCAACATGCGTACCACACGAGTGGCAAGCAATGACCATCTCCAATGAGAAAATTTAACCATCTCGACACTCATTACATGACAGATCCCCCTACCTTCGATCCAAAAATATATGGCCAGCCATATACATTCTGCAACCACAAGAGCTGGTCAGAGATTGGGACATCTGCAGCAAGTGACTCACCTTTTGACTCTACAAAACCTGCCCAACATCTACAAAACCAACCTGGAATAGAGTCGTACAGCACGGAAATAGATCCTTTGGCTCAACTCATTCGTACAGACTAGGTTTCCTGAACTGAACTAGCCCCATTTGCCTGCATTTGGCCCATATCCCTCTAAACCTTTCCTGTCCATGTACCTGTCCAAATATCTTTTAAATGTTGTAATTGTACTCACTTCTACCACTTCCTCTGGCAGCCCCTGGGGTCCCTTTTAAACATTTCCCTTCTCACCTTAAACCTATGACCTCTAGCTTTGACTCCCTTATCTTGGGGAAAGACCTTAGCCATTCACCTTATCCATTCCCCTCATGATTTTATACGGTCACCTGACAGCCTCCTACACTTCAGGAGCAAAGTCCTAGCCTATACAGACTCTCCTTATAACTCAAAGCCTCCAGCCTCAGTAACATCTTTGTAAATCTTTTTTGCACCCTTTCCAGTTTAACAACATCTTTCCTATAACAGGGCGATCAGAACTGTACACAGTACTCAAAATGTGGCTTTACCACCATCTTGTACTGCTGTAACATGCTGTCACTATTCCTGTACTCAATGCTCTGACCAATGAAGGCAAGTCTGCCGAACACCACCTTGGTCTCTGTTTGACAACACTCCCCAGGGCCTACAATTATCTGTGCAATCCTGCCCTGGTTTGTCTTATCAAAATGCAAAACCTCGCGTTTATCTTAAGTCCACCTGCCATTCCTCCTACTACTGGCTCAAATGCTCAAGATCCCCTTGTACTTTTAGATAACCTCCTTCACTGTCCATTATACCACTAATTTTGGTATCATCTGCAAACTTATGAACCACGCCTCCCATATTGTTATCCAAATGGTTTCTGTAAATCACAAACAATAGTGTACCTAGCGTCAATCCTTGCGGCACAGCACTGTTCACAGGCCTCCACTCCGAACAACAACTCTGTACCACTTCCCTCTGTTTCCAACCGTCAAGCCAATATGATGACATTCCATTTCCCTGCACAAGTACAGCTCTAATGGTGGTCAAGAGACATAACACCGTTCAGAGAAATAAAGTTTGTTAGGCTGGAACCCTTTGGTTGCTCTAATCATTCACTCTTGCCACCACTGACACAAAATGGCTCATTGGAGAATACTGTAGCAGTTTGCCAACGCTCCTTTACAGGCTTTTTCAAACCTGCAACCTCTATCTTCGAGAAAATCTAGTACCTCTCAGTTCCCTCCAAATGAATTAAGACATTTATTTAGTGAATGCAAAGCCCCAGAGTCAAGGAATAGCCCAATCAGCTGGATTTAGAATGATTTATCCATTACTTAGTCTGTGGAGGGGGCATTCCTCAGTAACATGCAACGTTTGTCATATCTGTTCACAAGCGCATGGGTTCATATTGATGCCCTAGCAATGGAGGATCATTGCTTAGGGACCCTGGCTTGTCCAGGATCTGTTTAACAAGGATCACGGTCACCATGGCAGTTCAACACCTGCCATTTGACAGAATGCAGTATGTCGCAAGGAACTAGCCAGGACTTCCCACACTTCCCATTCCTTGGCTGAAAGGATGGTTGCTGGCACATCTTGCTCAGGAAAGAGATGGAGGCTGGGCAGTAGAGAGATTGAACAGGTTATGATGGAGTGCTAATTGAGGTACAGTACGGACAACGTCAACTAGTTTGTGGGTTTTCATCAGTTGGTATGGTGGGGCATTGATATTTGAGAGGATAGGAAGCTGGGCGAGGGGATGCTGCTGGTGATGTTGAGCAGAGAGTTCCAGTTACAACATGCATTATTGCATTCAATTCAGTATTAATGAGCAATATGAGAGATGACCTAAACTAGACAGTTGCATGATATGTTGTTGTACAATTTGACAGCACTTGCCCTAAGCTACATGTATAGTACTGTTCTTTCACCGTCATAAGGTCAAAAATCTGGAATGTTCTTTCTAACAGCAATAGTTCAATAAGACTGCTCACCACCATCTCAAGGGCAGTCAGGCACAGGCACAAAATTCCAACTTTGCCAGCAACCCTCACATCCCAGAAGCATGTACAATCCTGCACTTGCATGTTTCTAGGTTTCCAGTGTAAACAATGAGACAGAGTTTGAGCCACCTATGTCAATTACTCATTTCTGCTCCTGGGCATGACAACTACATTTTCCCCCTTTTGGATCATCCTACACTTCAATTCTTCTACCTTCAGAATAACCAATTGGCCAAAGTACCATGACAGCGATTGCGTGACCGCTACAGCTCACGAGAATGATTGAGAGCGCGAGAGAGAGAAAATCTGGTGGATACAGTTTTTTTTAAAAATTTAAACCTGACATAGATAAGGCACTTAATTAGCCCTCGGACTAGAAGTAGTACTTTCATTTTACATTACAACTTGCAGAGTAGTGAGTGCTGGTGCACTCCTCCAGCCTCATTAAAATAACTGCTCGTTCATAAACTGAAGAAGAAAAATGAAAGAGGGACATGATGAGCTGAGTTATTCTATTAGTTCAACACTGGGACTAGCCAAATTAATCACAATAATTGCCTGTCCTGTTATTTTCATATTCTGCAATGGTTTTCCTGTGCTCAGAGGGTGGTTGGAAGTTATAAAGTACAAAATGTACAATACAATTATTATAATCACAATTATCCATAGGACTGGCTATATCAGATTTGATTAACAGATCACCAACTTAAATTTCATGCTAGGCCAAGAAAATTGCAAGGGCTTCCAAGTTTCATTAACTAAAATGTTACATTTTGTAGGGAATGGTGAACGTAGGACCTTGTCAAAGGCTTTACTGAAGTCTATGCAGGTAACGTCAATCAGTTTACCCTCAATCATCTTCGTCCCCTCCTCAAAAAACTCAATCAAGTTAGTGAGGCACGACCACCCCAACACAAAACCATGTTGTCTATTGCTAATAAGTCCATTTGCTTCTGAATATGTACAGATTTTGTCCCCGAGAATATTTTCTAATAATTTCCATACCACTTACGTGAAACTTACAGGCCTGTAATTTCCTGGATTATCCCTGTTACTCTGCTTAAATAATGGGACAACATTGGCTACTCTCCAGTCCTCTGGGACTTCACATGTTGCCAAAGAAGATATAAAAATGTCTGTCCATGTTCCAGCAATTTGTTCTCTTGCCTCCCTCAATACTCTGGGATAGATCCCATCAGGACCCAGGGGCTTAGCTACCTTAATACTTTTTAAAAACACACAACATCTCATCCTTTTTAACAGCAACTTGGCGTAGAAAGTTGACACTCCCTTCGCTGAGATCATCCTCCAACAATTCCTTCTCTTTGATGAATACCGACACAGTATTTGTTCAGGACCTTAGCTACCTCTTCTGGCTCCACACACAGATTCCCTCCTTTGTCCTCAAGTGGACCAAAGGAGTATTGATATGTAGAGCATTCTAGGTGTGCCAGTCCACAGAAGGTGGCAGTGCAGGTAGATAAGGGAGTAAAAAAAAGGCTCATGCCATGCTTGCCTATATTAGCAGGGGCACTGATTAAAAAGGATAGACAAGTTATGCTTCAGCTTTATAGAGCTTTAGTTAGGCCACACTTGGAATACTATGTACAGTTCTGGTCACCATGCTACCAGAAGGATGTGGATGCTTTGGAGAGGGTACAGGAAAAGGTTTATTGGATGTTGCCTGGCATGGGGAATTTTAGCATGAAGAAAGGTTGGATAGACTGGGTTTGTTTTCACTGGAACGCAGGAGATTGAAGGGTGACCTGAAAGAAGTTGAAAAGATTGTGAACGGCATGGACAGAGAGGCAAGTATGAGGCTTTTTCCCCAGGGTGGAGGGGTCAATTACTAAGGGACCCTGGTTCAAGGTGCAAAGGGGAATGTTTAAAAAGAGATGTTTGAGGCATGTTTTTCACACAAAGGGTGTTGAGTGCCTGGAACACGTTGCCAGAGGTCGTGGTGGAAGCAATCACAATAGCAGCATTCAAGGAGGATCTGGAGGAATACATGAATAGGAAAGGAATAGAGGGATACAGTCCTATAAGTGAAGACAATCTT